TTTATTAATGAAGATAATCAAATAGAAAAAACACAAAATAAAGATAGTTCACCATTAAATGCTGGTCGATTAGCAAATGATTATCTTGTTGTAAAATGTGAAAAACCTAATAAACTTCAAATCTTTAAATTAGATTGAACAACAAAAAAAAACTTTTTTTTATATTCAGCTTTGTAAATAAAAGATTGATATTTAGAATTTATTTTTTACTTTATTTAAAGTAGCTGGTATAGAATCAACATGCAGACACAAAAAAAAAAAAAAAACTTGTTAGTTTATTTTGAATGTTCAATCTGAATCTGTCGATCTTTTGGTTCGACTTTAGGTAATGGTGCTTCGATTGTAAGAATACCATTTTCTGCAAATGTTGATTTTAAATCTTCAAGTTTAAGTTCTTCTGGTAATGTATAAGTTTGATTAAATTCATGAAGTGAATAACTATTACCAGCCTAAAACACAAGTATATAAAATATAAGAAAATTAATTTAAATAAATAGTTTAATTTATACCTTTTTTTCTTTCTTTGCTGAAACAATCAATGAACCCTTTTGTGTTTTAATTTTCACTTCTTCAGGTTCAAAACCACGCATATTAAATGCAAGATGAAATTTTCTAGAACCATCGGATTCAGTAACAATCATATCATTTTCTAAAAAATAAAAATGAAAAACAAAATGATTATTTTATCGAAGAAAACAAAACAAAAAGAAAATATTTACCATTTGCACCAAATGAATAATTGACTAGTGATTGATTATCATTGGCACTACCACCTCGAAAATAATTATCAAATTGTTGTTGCATACGTTCAAATTCTTTTTCTAAATCTCGAAAGATACTTGATGTCGTACCACGAAATACATCAGGTAAATTTCTTGGATTTCGATAGAACAAATGACGTACTGGACCGCTCATGTTGCCTATTGTTGATAGACGACAAAGAGTAGTTGGTACAAGAAGACGTGAGATAATACGAGTTGAAGCCATCAGTCAATGTTTGTTTTAACAGTAACTGTAAATGAATGAAAAAACAATGAAAAAAAAAAACGAGTTTATATACTCCCGATTTATCATTATTCTGGAATATTCTAGAATGTTTCCTAACATTCGGGTATCTCCGAGAGAGTTCATTTTATGGTGATATTTTACTATTGTACAGCAGTCAAGATTAGAGAAAGGGAGAAAAGGAATCTAGTAGACCAATTGAAAACATATGAATTTATGTCGCTCTATGACGGTGCACATTGCATCAGCCATAGATGATGCAATGCACACAAGTGTAAAGTTCGCGATTAATCGAGAAAAAAAGAAAAGAGGTCACCCTTGTTTTTTTTTACTCATGACTACGTTCTTTTAACTTTTAGCTATTTTAATTTAATAGATATGTTGATTTATTTTCGAGTTTGACTCATATATTTCTTATTCAATTGTCTTATTAAAATAAAGAAAAAAAAATATAGAAAATTTATTAAGAATAACTACAAATGCTTTTAAGAATAAAAGAAAAATGTTTTTTTTAAAGATAATCATCGACAATAATACGTAGTCCTTATGTTTTTGGTTTCACATGTTTAACAGAAACTTTTCCAACATGTTTTTTTTTATCTTTCTTTCTGCCATGTTTTTTTTCATGTTTTGTTGGTACATCAACAATGTCTTCTATTGATGATGATGATCTTGCTCGTTCATTAACTTCTTCAACGATATCATATTGAGGTTTTTGAGCAATATGATGTGGTCGTTTTTCTTTACTATCAACATGTTCAATACGATGGGATTGTTCTTCAGTACTATTAACATGTTCAATACGATGTGGTCGTTTTTTCTTAGTATCAACATGTTCACTGCGAGTTGGCTGTTCATCACTACTGTCAATATATTCAGAAACATATTGTTGTTCATCGCCACTCTCAATATTATCAATCTGCTGTTTTCGTTGTTCTTCAACATGAATGGGTTCAATACGAGGTTTTGGTTGTACAACAATATTTTGTTTTTGTGTTTCTCGCATACTAGTTGTTCGTGGTTGTTTTTTTGCTGTTTCGACATCATCAATAACAGATGTTTGTTCATTAGGCATATGAATTATTCGTTGTTGAACTTGTGGAGGTGAAATAGCTGATGTTGGAGGAACAATTTGATAAATAACTTGTGGAGGTTGAAATGTTTCTTCAATTTCATGTGGTTCTACTTGAACAAAATGAGAAGTCATTTTTGGTCGATCTATTGAACGTTTTGACATTCCACCATAAGCATTTGTTGCTGGCCATACCCCACGATTAAAATCTTTTAGACGTAATAGAGCAATTGTTGTTTCTGTATTTGTTTGTTTATCATGAACTTTAAAAGATAATTTAGGTATTGAATCTGGTGTTGATACATCTTGAAGTATACCAGATCGTAGTGATGATGCGTCATTTGTAGAAATAAATTTATATGTTTTGAAAGGATTTTTTTGTCGATCATTTTGTTTAAAATCTGATGTTGCTAATGGATCGATTGGATCAATATCATCATCTGCATTAACCATATAACCATGTTTATAAAAACAAATAAATATAAGTACTGTTGCAATTATTGTAGTTAACATTATAGAACAAATAACCATGCCTAAGATTTTCCATTGACTATTCGTTTCACTATCTAAAGAAAATCGTAAAATGTTGATTATTAAATAGAGAAAAGACACTTTTTTTTAACCGTGAGTATATAAAGCAATCGATGTAATAAGACCACCTATCGATCCACAAGCAAGAAATATCATAGATCCAAATAAAAGTCCACCACTTAAACGTGTTAATCCTAAACATAATGGTTCAGAAAGCCATTGAGCCTTAAAAATAAATTTTTCTCTTTAAATTCAACGTAGATTAATATCTATACCCATTTGCCTTGTGGTTTAGTTTCTTCATCATCTATTTCACTTTGAAGTACACCACTTCTAATACCATTAGGTCGATTTTTGGCTGCTCTCTCTAAAATTCATAAAATTTTGTTTTGGACATCGAAATGAATTCAACTTGAAATTAATAAACTTACCAGGAAGAGCACTATTTTGATTGTAGGCCGCATATGATTGATTATTATATTTTTCATTAACTGTACTAACTGCAGATTGATGTTTTGAATTTTTTTTATTTGTTTTCGATTGATCCATATATTTATTTATGCGTTGCTGTTGTTCTTGTTGTGATGCATAAGACAATGGTATTAATGGATTTGCCGATGTTAATGATGATGGACTTGTGACAGCTTTAAGAATAAAAAAGAAATTAAATGAATCGATTTATTATTTCGTATTTGAATATTATATACAATTATTTGGGAATATTTGATTGACTAATTGTGAATCATTAACTTGTGATGATAAAACATTCTTGTTTTTCAAAGACTCATTATAGGATACTGTAGGAGGTTCATATTGTGATTTCATTGAATATGGTTGTGTTTTTTGTGAAGGTCCAACAGTCATTGGAATTGCTTGTTGTTGCTGCTGTTCAGGTGTATGTGACAATATTTTACCTGATCGCATTTTATTTCTAGTGATCGTTGTTTATTGATGAACAACCTTAAGAGAAAAAAAGAAAATATAGATAAAAATATTTATTTGATTATTGATTATTTTTGAATTACTTAGTATCGTTGAACTTGATCCAGCAATGAGTGTACTTAAATGATGAATATAGCTAAATAATTGCTGTTTGAAAATGATTAGTTTTTATCTTCTTTGATAATTTCACCGATTTTGCACGTTCAACAAATATTATTTAACCTGGTAATCGTATTTGTTTAACAGGTGACTTTGATAGTAGTGGTGGTATCTGAAAAAGATTATAATAAAATTTTCTTGCTAAAGATTTATTTTGAAGGAAAATTTTTTATACGATTCAATTAATTCTGCAGAATTTTTCATGGGAAAACCACGTATTTTTTTCAATATGTCATAGGACGAACATTGTAAAATGATTCGAATTCAGACTTTCTACACTAAGTTTAAGTAGTAGTATATGTATTCTATACGAAGTGTTACATTGCATACATTTTTGCTTCTATCGGCTTGAAAAGAAGGATGAAAACTGATTGCTTTTTTTCAATCAATAAATAAACAAATGAATGAAGCTCATAAAATATTTTTAATTCTTTTCTCAAAAAGAGAATTGATTATTTCTTTTCTTTGAAACAAACTAGAACAAGCTCATTTGAAAATACAAATTCACATATTCCGATCGAATTTTGTTTTGATAATGATAAAATAAAAAAAAACAATTAACAAAGTTCTAACTTACAGATCAAGTCGAAATTGTCGATTTAGTTGTTTGTTAAGTTCTTTAATAGAATCAACTATTGTTGACGATCTTTTTACCAATGTTGTTGTAGGTATTGATGTAGGTTGATTTTGTTTATCAAAAATCAATGATATAATTATCTAGTTCTTCGTAATATTTCTGTGCTTAACGAATATCAGCTACAGATGATGAGGAACAACTTTTTGAGCCGTCATACTCCTCTATACGAACACTATGAACACCACCAGGCTTGTTTTATATAACAAAAAAAAAGATTGAATGAATGAAATAAAGCCACGGATGCATTTGAATATGATATTATAAGTTTTCTTTGTAAGAAAAAAACAAAAAAGAAAGGCATATGATTAGCAAAAAAATAACAGTAGGCCATCAATAAGAATTCTAAAGCAAATATTGAAAAAACACATGAATTTTTGATTGAAATTCAACTTGAAAACATTTTTTTAATATATCCATTGTATAGAAATGTAATTGAACATTGTTTTCTCACAGTAATGTAATAATTAAATGAAATTCTCTTTTTCATTTTACTTCATTCGTTGATCAATCCGAGTGAAAGAAAATAATCTATTTTGATGAAGACCTATGACTCTACGTTTTATTTCATGAACAAATTTTCAAAAAAAAAAAAGAATTAAAATAAAAAAAAGAAAAACAATGAAGGGTTCTTATGGTAAGATTTTTCTTCTGTGATTATTTTTTGCCAGTTTCGACAACAACAGGTGGATAATTGCAAACACTTATTTTAGGATCGAAAATAGTGCCAGGAGCACATTTACGAATCCAGAAAACACCAGTTTGATCACATTGAATAAATCTTGATGCATCAGGATAATAAGGAAAATAGTATCGACCATAGATACCACATGGATTTGGGACTAAAATTACGAAAATAATTGCATAGTCTTTCGTATCCGTTAATAAATTGGAATCATTATTAGATTATAATAAAAATCATTATTCACGTCGTATTAATATAAAACAATTAAATAATTTTTAATCATATTCAAAAACACAAAAAAAAATGAAGAGGAGACATTTCAGCAGAAATGTTTCTTTTTTTATTTATATCAATCTATTTTAAATAATCTGCTTTGATGGGTTTCTAATAATTATAAATAAATTGTCTGTATCTGAACAGCAATCCATTATCTCACCATAGATCAAAGGAGTAACTGTTTGTGAAATGATTGCAGAAAATAAATGAAACACAGGGGTTTGAAAATGAGAAAAAATTTTTTTCATCTCTTCGTCTTGGAAATATGATTTGATCTGTAAAATCGATAATTTCGAAAAAAAATGGAAACATTTCAATTTTTCGAAACAAAACGTTCTCTACTTACATTCAGTCGAGAACTTTCGGAATTTCTGTGCGATATAAATAGATGAAGAAGCTAACTAGTGAGTTAGATATGTTTCGAAAAATTCATGATAACCCGACGAATTACACATCCCTAAGGCATGCAATGAATCATGAAGCCATTACTGGAAAGCTGAAGAACAATCAGCAACAAAGTTAATACACGTATTATTACCTTAATTCATGAGAAGTTGAAATAGTATATATCATGAATTAGATGTCCTCATAGGTTATAAAATAGCTCAAAGCAAAATAGATGTTTATTTAATATGATGTGTCACAAAAACATAAATTCTTCTGACATGAATTTTTATCGGTTCATTTCTACTGTTTATTCTATTATTACAATAACATAGGATTGATGTTGGTTTTGCCCACTCAATATTGCAGTCAAAAAAAAACATAATTAAAAGCTTAATATGTTGTTCGATCTTCTTTTTTTAGCACACCACCATGGGATATATTAGTAGTCGCTCTTCTAGAACCACTGCGCGAGGTAAAAAAATTAATTCAGGTTCTTTTTATATGGATTGAAACAAATACATAAAAAGATAATGTTCGATTCTGATGAATTAAATTATGAAACGACTAAATCTGTTGTATTGAATTATTCATCAATTTTCGCAATCAATCAATTCTTTAATACGAATTATGGTGTAATATCAACATCTTCACAAAGTATCACACGATAAAAACTCTCGAAAACTTGAAACAAACAAGGAAATACAAAAAAATTTCATTTCAATTCTAAATTTATCTTTATCCGTTCAATTCAATATAATTTCTTCTCCACCTTCAGAAACCTTTTTTATTAGTTTATTGTGAAATTACTTTTTCAAATACTACCTAATTCTTTACTTAAAGATATAACTGATCTGAATAAATCTTTAGGAGTATCATTATCACTTATTACTGTTGATAATGAAAAAAAAAACAGATTAATATCTCAATAAAATAATTAAGATTATAGTTTTAACTATAGCAAACAAACAAGTAACTTACTTCCAACACAACCATTTGTACCGCATCCACATTGCCATTGACCTGAAAGTTGTGAGCAAGTAGCACCACGTGGACAAAAACCTACTGGACAATCACTAGCAGTACCAGTACCAGTACCAGTACCAGTACCAGTCGGATGAGCACCAAAACCAGCAAATGGCGCTGTTGAATCGAATTGACCACTACCTGCTACAGAAGATAATACATAAGGAAAATTATACCAATTGACATTTTGATACGGATATGGATAGTAGTAGCCTAAACAAAAAAGTGCAAATTTTTCAATTGAAATTACTTTATTCTCACCTCGAGTATCTGTATAGTCAGGATTTTGTTGCTGTTGTGATTCAGGTAGGTGGTTTTGTTGAATTGGTTGTTGTTGCTGTTGTGGCTCAGGTATTTGATTCTGTTGGATTGGTGGTTGTTGTCGTTGTGGCTCAGGCTGGTGATTATGTTGGATTGGTTGTTGTTGGCGTTGTTGTTCAGGCAATTGGGTCGGTTGTTGAAAATGTTGTTGTTCTAGGAACTGTTGTTGGTTCAATTGTTGTTGTTGTCCTAGAAACGGAGTTTGATAAAATTGTTGTTGTTGTTGTTGTTGTTCTGGAAGCTGAGTTTGATAGAATTGTTGTTGTTGTTGTTGTTGTTGTTCTGGAAATTGAGTTTGATAAAATTGTTGTTGTTGTACAGGAAACTGAGTTTGATAAAACTGTTGCTGTTGTTGTTGTTGTTGTTGTTGTTGTTCTGGAAATTGAGTTTGATAAAATTGTTGTTGATGTTGTGCAGGTAACTGAGACTGATAAAATTGTTGCTGTTGCTCAGGAAGTTGAGATTGATAAAATTGTTGTTGCTGTTGTTGTTGTTCTGGAAACTGTTGTTGATAGAATTGTTGTTGTTGTTGTTGTTGTTGTTGTTCTGGAAGTGGATGTTGGTAAAGTTGTTGTTGTTTTGATTGCTGCTGTTTTAAATGTTGTCGAAGTTGGTAGAATGGTGTTAATCTTGGATCATCATGAGCTACAAGCGCTTCGCTCAATGCTTCAATCATTCGATTTGTCAATATAGTATCCGTAAAGTTGATAGGTGGTAGTGCGTTAACACTAATGATAGCAAATATCACAATCACTATGAATAACATTACAAAACCTTTTAGTATGGTTGTTAGTAGTGTAGATAATTTTATTGAGAAATTTTGAAATCAAACGATCGTTTGAAATTGTCGTCGAATATTTATATGTGATTAGCATTTTTTCTTTATTGAACTTCGCCTTCTTATGCGAAGGTCTTCTTCCTTTTTCTTTCTCCTTTTTTGTATCATCCTTATCGACATATGAAGTCATGACTATGTCTTCTGTATGTATGTCTATATATGTATGGATTACCAAGCTCCGACAACGAGGAATGTTATGAAGTTTATAGATACATATGAATGCACGTTCAAAATCGACCTACAATAAGGATTAACAAAGTAAACGAAGAAATGTACAGAAGAAGCAATGATATCGTAAAAAATAGAGTAATACTGATAACCTTTGGTAATTACAGTGCACATATTTAGCTTTTCTATATTGAGAGGTCAACGACATTTTTTTTATGCAAGTAAAACAAAAAAGAAGCCTTTCAGGGACAATCTATGATCATGAGGAAAAGGCAAGTTAAGTACGATTATAATCACAGAGGTAAATATAGCAAGGGTACAATGAAATGCCAAGGTTAGAAAAAGTATGTTTTGCAGCACAAGAAAACGAAAAAATGATAAGAAGGTTAGTAGTATTAAATTCAAAATTGACTTGCACTATAACAGTGTTGATTATTAAACTGTAACATAAATTTAAAGTTATTTAAAAAGATAGAAAATGATTAGTGAATGCTTATTTATTATGAAGTCTTTAAATTAAAAAGATTTTCAAAAAGAAAATATTCACACAATTCAACGAAATCGTTTTCATGTCTTCATTTTTTTAATTGAATAATTGATTTTTATAATTGAAAAGGGTAAAAAGAAAACATACAATTAATACAATTGTCATTGATTTTATTTTCGATCCAACACATGTTAATCGACTACCATCACTTGTTGTCATATTAATCAAACAATATTCATTATTTTCAGATAGACATAAAAGTTCCGCTTGTCCACCATAATAGATTCCAGCACATAATCTATTATTGAGAATAAAACGAAGAGAACCATCTCGATAACATACACCTTTGGTTTGTTGTTTTTGATAATGAATACTAATCGATATAAAAGGCCAATGATGACTAAATAAATAAGGTCCTTGTGGAATATATAACGATGATGATGAACAATTGATTGTATGTAAATAATGTACACCAGTTAAATCCGTAAAACATATAGGAATAATTATACAAAGGATGAGTAAAAATAGTAGCTTTGTGTTTTTGTCCATTGAAATTAAAATAGATGTACGTCGTCACACAACATCTTGTAAGATTTTGATACTTGAAATATTAACAAAACATTTGACTTTTTTCTATCGAAATAGGAGACGAAAGAAATTTGATACTTTGACGTTTTTGTTCGCCAGCAGAAATTTGCATAATACAGCCTACCTATATTAATTTAAAAAGAATGAAATATAAAATAGTAGATATAGCCTATATAAGATACATTCATTCTTATCTTTCACTCACACTTTACATCAGTGAGAATGATTAAATTGATACGATGTGGAGCCAATGAGTTTATGATGATCTCAAAAAAAAAATCAATACATTAACTCGTTTCTACAGATTTTCTCATTTCTCAATTTCAATATTGGAACAAATATTGAATCTTCAGATGAATCATTTCGATTACCATAAATAAGTGATTCTTATGTAAGTACAATACATGTTATCGAATAAATGCAATCAATACATATTCTGAAATTAGACAAAATTTTAAATGATACATCTGTATCATACTCTTATTAAATAGTTCAAGCACCATATCAAATCTTTTCTTGGCATAGATGTTATATGATATTAATAAATAACTACGTCTCACAATAAGACAGACATATTCATGTTTATTAATAGCAAGATAAGAGTTACGATGAGGTCTCATATATCATTCAAAATTAACATCAAGAGAAACGGTATTAATTAACATTATGGTTTGAAATAATGCCAATCATTGTTTGAGCCATTCATCAAGATGTAGATAATTGTGACATATTCTTATAGTTAAACTTTTGTTGAGTAATGTTTTGTGTTATTTACAATATATAGGACTCGTATCTAAATTCATTTATTTATTTAGATTTTTTTCTCAATTCTCTTATTTTTGACCTATTATCATTTGATTTTTATGCTGTTCTTTGTCAATATGATGTGATCTATGATACAAAAGTCTTATCATAAAAAAAAAGTGTTCACTTTCTTACTACTCATTAGAACTTGTTTAGACTTCACAGGAATTAGTTAAGATCAGAATTTTGTGTTCTTTTCAAATATGTTCTCAGTAAATTTCTCTAACCGAAAATTAATTTTCTATCAAAAAAAAAAAGGCTGGATATTTGACAGAAATGGTGTTTGAATCAAGAAATTATCAATTTTTAACTAGATTCACAGCTTGTGTAAGTTGTATTTAAGAGTAGTTGCTAACTGGACATTGTGCAGACGGTTCATTTTTCCACAAAATCAAGTATTATAATAGGATTGAAATAAAAATCATTAAAACTTCTTTGTGTTCTTCTGATAATTACTTTCAATTTAAAACGGTATGCTGTTAAACATCAGTTTTTCCTTTCAATCTGTCTTGCCAGATGAAAACCGGTTTCGTGCCTTTGCTTTTATATATTTTAAAAAATAATGAGATAAAAAATATAATTTTTCGTCAAAGAATATGATAGAAATGCGAACCTGTATAAAGAGTGATTCTATAAGGATGTTACAGTTTATAAAATGTGTCAAACAAACAATATTCATCCCAAAAAGATTGATAATTTTGTCTAAATAACTGGATATTTAAAGTATCAATCACTTTGTCGATATAACATTGCACTTCCGATTATTCTTTTTACGTTTTTTTTACGTATAGAAATGCTAAATTAATACCTTAAATAATTGCTGAAGAGTTCAGTCGATATATCAAAACTAGAAACTTGCTTTTTGACATCCAGGATTAGTTTTTGGAGAATTTTTTTGTATTATTCAACATCAGTATGTTCTATACCATCATGTTCTGTCTTTCCCGTTTCAGAAGTTCTTGGAACTAAGAAGCCATTAAAAAGAATGATCAAAAATTTTCAGTTGGTACCTGTGATCTATCCAATGTTTTTAGTCACCGTCATCGTTGATCAATACATCAACTTACATCTTTGATTATAATTAATATTAGTCAAAATTGAATTATTCTAAAACTTGTCTTAATTTTTATTAAATATTATATTGTTGATGACACAATATTGAATACTTGTATATTTAGATATGTTATTATTGTTATATATTGTTTTTCCGTTTTCATACTATTTTCCTACCAATATCTTATTCATATATCGGAGATGATTATTTATGTGAAAGAAGACACCACAAATACAATCATTTTTACAAAGTCTCTTACACATATAGTTCAAAGTGATAACTACTTTGATTATTGTTTGAAATGTCAAATTAGGTAAATGAATGAATACATAGATCTGACATTTTTAACGTATTAAAAGATGATTATAAAAATGTATTTGAATTGTTCTCTTTTGAACAACACATTGTCAACGTATGATATGGATCATATACATTTTCTGAATAAATAATACATCTATATGCATTATTGAGTGCAGCTAACAAAAATTAAATCCAATTTTTCATTAATTAATACATTGATTTTTTACAAGTAGTTTCAATGATGCTACAACAAACGATGAATAATATATATCTCGAAGTTTTTCTGATTGATTATTCAATTTATTTGATTCATCTACCAATTATACATACAACCAATATGTTAACATATTTATTTGTTGGCAAATTAAGATAATCAAGATGTTAAATAAATAATGAATACCTTAAACAATAATATATTTGTTCGGTATGCAATCCATCATTACGTGTAAAAGCAAAACTATTATTCGAATTTAACTGATTTATACAAAATATGTTGTCGAATCTATATGCATTGCATTTCTTAAGTCTGTAGATACTATTCAGTTCTTTCGTTTTCTTCGATTATTTTATTAAAAGATTATTCTTATGAATAAATGAATATGTTAAAAATTTATTCAATAAATTGTTCGTTAGCCTAGAAGCCCAGCATATAAAGACCTAAGAGAATATCTTATGGTAATCAGCACGATCGATAACGTATTATTCATTCGCTTTTTATGAACAATCAATTGATCAAATCAACACATTTCCTCTTTAGATTTCTAAAGACTTTTCTTCAATACATTGTAGAATGTATATATTCTGATGATCAAATATGAAATAATTAATATAATGAACATTAAAGAAAAAAGTCAAATATCACTGATTAACTAAAAATGAAGAAAAAAACAAAAAACTTCTTTTAGCTGTTTATTTGCTATCTATAATTTAAAAACAACAGTATGTGTATGTTTCGGTTTCTTTGTTTTACTTAAATAATTTTTTTTTATGCATGCATCAACTAGAATAAAAGAAAGATAGATAAAAAAAACGACAAGCAATAAGACAGGTCTATCACAAAGAAAATATCGGACCGACCAAAAAAGAAAAAACAAGGAAATAAAATAAATCATCGCGCATAACAAAAGAATAACTCAGAAAGTAAATAGTGATGGACTGTTCACACACACACGCACACACTTCAGAAAGAAATAAATTAAAACAAAATGTTATCGTTGTTTGCATCCTATACCACACATGTACATAAAAAAAAATTTATCTTTTTTTTAAACAAACGATAAAATTGAATGTGTTCCATACGGCTTTCTAAAAATATGTACATTTCGTTGTTTTAATTTTTGTTTCTTGGTTTTTCTTGGAAAATTAATTTTTCTTTTTACGACGTAATTGAAGTCGTTTAGCAATTGATCGTTGTCGTTTTTGTTGATAAGTAAGAGT